TGATAGCCGTTTAAATTCAAATCAATAACCGTTGGTAACGCACTCTCTAGTAAACACTCAAAAGAAGAAGTCTTTTGACTGCTTACTAGAAAGTGCGTTACACACCACAGGCAACCCATAAGAAACAAAACACCAACGGTTATTGATTTGAATTTAATCGGCTGTCAGTTTAGTGCCGATCTGATCACAGCGCAGATCTGATCACAGCGCAGATCTGATTACAACTTATGTAATGGGAAACCGATCACAACACAGGAAACCCACAAAGAGCAAAGTTACTTTTCTAAAAAAAGCAAAAAATATATATAGCCAGGTTCCCTGTGTAAAAAGATGAATGAAACGATGTCTTATCAGTGTGTTACGAAATGCAGTTTTATTACGATCTCTCAAAACAGGTTGTAGAAAGTTTGTTTGCTCACCAGTATATTTCACCCATGGGAATCGAGATGTTCATTCATTTGCTCTCAGTGAATTAATCAGTACGTGATTACTGAGCCTATTGGGCCTATTTTTCTCATATTCACTACTTTCCAAAYTTCTGTTAACCGTTTAAACACAAAGCATTCAACCTAGGCTGGAAGGTTCTWAKTTGAATAATCCTTTGAATCCAGCCTCTATTGAATGCTTCGTGTCTGACCAGTGAACGTAGAATAAAAAGAGACGTCTTTAAAGAAATAAAGCAATTTATTTACTCATTCCTTAAAMATAACTCTACTAACTATCGCGTTGCTGTGATTTTTGCAATTATTTTGGATCCGTGGATATTTCAAGCTTTGCTTGTGCAAGAATTACGTCAGCTCCCCTAGCAATCAAATCTTTGGCCAAATTTTGCCCAAGTTCCTCCCCCTGATGCATRGCATCGTACATGTGCGAAGGCATGAGAATTGAGGACACTCCTAGTGTCGGTTGGTTGCCTTTTTTGTCTTCGTTAACTGGTGGGATGTCCGTGGTCATGGTTTCTTGGACACACTTTTTACCGTCGAGGCTCAATACTGCTCCAGTTAGAGTCAACTACRAATTAAACAAAAGAAGAAAAATTCGTTTGAGAAACGGGAAATTGAACTTCAAGTGAGCTTCAGGAAAGCCATTTGAGTGTCAATGTGTCGTGCGTTTTCAAATGGATTCCATACCCTTTACCATCCAATCACAGTGCTTGGTTAGGGAAGCCATTTAAGTGTCAATGTGTGTGTCGAGCTTTTTCAAATGGCTTTCTGCTAAACCAATCAAAAAAGACTGGCGAAAYCCTTTACAATCCGATCACAGTGAAAGAAGGAGAGTACCTTGTTATCTTTAAAAACACTTTCAACTCCCACGGGAACACTGCAACCACCTTCCTGAAAATACGTAAAATCAAACCATTTGAACTTCTAAATTCCTCAAAATTTAAACGATGCCTTTAGTCGAGCCAGCATATAGTTTTATTTATCTCACAGATTGAACCCTCAAACAACCTCTGGGCTGATCTAAGTCAAGTCATGGCTAACTCACAGATTTAACCCTSAAACAACCTCTGGGCTGATCTAAGTCAGGGAACGGCTAACTCACAGATTGAACCCTCAAACAACCTCTGGGCTGATCTAAGTCAGGGCACGGCTAACTCACAGATTGAACCCTCAAACAACCTCTGGGCTGATTCAACTAAGAAAAATCCTTTCAACTAAGAAAAATCCTCGAATCAAGGGAGAGACGTGACAAGCTCTTCTCACGTGATGCTGAGTCCAGGAACCAAGCTCTGGACCTCAGAGGTTAGCTGCACATGCAATACTGGGATGCCACCCATGATTTCCACACACCTAAAAGTGAAAGCATTCTTACCAGCTGTCTGAGGAAGGCTCGTTCAGCAGCACAAACCACAGCGGTCTCAAAGTCGTAGAGCTCTGCTATCATAGCAACCGTCTTGCTGTCCTTAATGTTTAACTCCACTGCCAGTGCACCCTAGTAAAGAAATATGTTGTCATGGTGACGAAATATTATGGTAACCATTCCCAAACGATTGCCATGACAACAAGGTTAATAAAAAGGCAATATTTTGTCATGTTGATA